CATCATGGCTATGTCGCTGGACTGCCATGGAGTAGACCGCGGTTCGAGTCCCGGACCCGGTGGCTTAAACTCACGCCGGGCGTGAGTGCGTGTGTGCCCAAGATCCCGAGAGGAGAATGGAGGAGAAGGGATTGCGGCGTGGCCATCCCCCCTGGGGGGTGATTTCTCGCTTTCTGTCTCTCTGTCTCTGTCTGTCTGGCAAGTGCACGCGCCCTATAGCAAAAACCTCTTAAAGAGGACAGAAAAGAAAATCACACTGGGCATATGTGTGTGTGCCCCAAATACAGGAATGGAGGAGAAGGCAGTGTGAGACCCTGGCGAGTAATTTCTCACTTTCCCTCTCGCTGTCTCTATCTTTTTCTCTTTCTGGGAAGTCCATGTGGCCTAAGGCAAAAACACCCTTTTTAAAAAAAATTATTATTTAATTTATCCTCTCAAAAAAATCAGCTTTTGGGGACCAGCAGTTAGTGTAATGGGTATGTCGCTGGACTCCCACGTAGTCGACTTCGGTTCGTGTCCCGGACCCGGTGGCTTAAACTCACGCCGGGCGCGTGTGCGTGCGTGCCCAAGATCCCGAGAGGAGAATGGAGGAGAAGGGATTGCAGCGTGACCATCCCCCCTGGGGGGTGATGTCTTGCTTTCTTTCTCTCTGTCTCTGTCTGTCTGGCGAGCGCACGCGCCCTATAGCAAAAACCTCCCCCTCCCCGCAAAAACAGGTTGACCGAAGAGAGAGAGAGGGAAAGTGAGAAAGCAAGTTGCCAGGTCTGGGACTTGAACCGTGGTCAGCCATGTGGGAGTCCAGCGCCTTCAACAACCATGCCACCTGATGGCCCAGCAAAAACTTCCTTTAAAAAAAAAAAATAATAAGGCAGCAGAATCGGAAATCCATGGTGGGGTCAGGCGTGGCCAACTACACGGCTCGAGTCCCAGACCCAGTGGATGAAATCGATACCAGGCGTCAGGGGCATGCGAGGCCCGGCCTGAAAGGAGAACAGAACGGAGAAGAAGGGGGCTGTGATCTGATGATCCCCCTGGGGCGGGAGGTGATTTCTCACCGCCTCCCCCCTCTACCTCCAACAAGCACCCACGCCCTACGGCAAACTAGAAAGACACAAAAAACGAAGAGACCCCCCCTCCCCGCCATGTGGCCAGCTCGCTCAGACGAAACCAGGACTGTGAACACAGGGGACCGGGCGGCTAGCTGGCTGACCCTGGG